CCCGCGGTGGCCGCTTCACACTTCGATCGACTCTCGCGAGTCCGCCGAGCGGGTTAGCCGCTCGGTTGCAATTATCCGAGGCAGTTCTTACACGCTAGAGGCGTGTGCGTGTAATACACGTGGCGCGTTGGAGCAGGTACAAGTTAGAGCAGGTCACTTTCGCTGCCGGCTCTCAACTGTTCCAGTCGTCGCGCACGCGTGCTGCTCCATTCATAAACTTATAGAGACGCGTATGTAAGCCCCGGCCTGGGCACGTAGGTGTAGTAGGAAATCGTGAGTTACACGGAAATGCACTATATCCGAGTTTCCACTATTCGATCTATCTTAATGCCTCGGTCGAAACTGAAATGGTTGAGATATGCGAGGGAAAAGCAACATACACCCCTCCTCGAAAGTAGTTGGACAGTTTACGGACGCTTCACGGTTTCGGGAATCGCGATATTTTAAACGATAAGATAGAAAAATGCATTGCAGAAATATATTTTTCTTAGGGACGATACAAGTCGCAAGAGGAAAGAGCGGTGGAGTGTAGGAAGACGTTAAACTCTGTTCCAGAGTAGAATTCAAGATGCCGCGTTACATAATGCGAAATTATGTAAAATGTTAGCGCCGACTTTTATGCGTCGTTTGATGTATCTGAGTTTTCGTGCCGGGCCGGCCGATTATGCACACTCATAACCACCACACCGAACGAGATATAATGGATGATCTAGTATTCCGTAGAGGAGGTTCCGTGCACGAGTTCGGGCAGTGCGAGCGTTTATTCGCTAAACGCCAAGTTTCGTAACCTTTTCAATTAAGAGCGGTGCAACCATGTTCTTAAAGTGGAAACGTGGTGATCACGCAGTTCAAAAGTTTCGTTACTTTAAGAGAGATCGATTTCAGAGAGATCGAGATCCGATAATCCGATCTCTTTCCATTTCGTTCCGATTTTAACTTTATCAGGGGGAGGAGGGGGAGGTATAATATCGTCACGCGATAAAATCTCGATGACAATCGATTTCTCGGATCGTCGTAATTTTATCTTCTTTTGCGCGGAGAAATAACAAATCGCGTGGAAGATAAATTCTCTTGATTGCACGGGGAACAATAAGCGCGTTAACCGAATCTACGCAGTGAGAAATACAATTTCATGGAAAAATTAATGTAATTCGTAATGGAACGCGTGTAACATCTCACTTAAGCAGATGTTATTGCACAACTATAATGCTCATAATTTCTTCTTAGACTCGTAGTTCATTGACGTTAGATGAAGCTTGGGGTCAAGCGCACAGAAGTCGCAGAACTTTCCTTAGAAGGGATCCAACGGTCACGTTTGGTTGGAGCTTTTATTACGTTTCATTACAACTTTCATGACATGTCTGAAAATTCTCCAACATTCGTTTCGAACGTAAATCCACGCTCCAGGAAGTATTTACGTGTTTTGTATTATAGATTTCCGTTAATTTTACCTTCCTTTCGAATCGTTCGCGCATCGGCATTCTTCATTCTTGTACGTTCGTTCTTCATCGAAACGAGTCGTACAAGTTATCATTATCCGCACGCATTATCATTGTGTTTCGTTGCCGTTTAGAAGCAAATAACGCGTTAACGCAGTCGCGCGATTGAAACGATGAATTCAAGCCGGACAAAAACGCTCGATCGTTCGCGATTTTTAACGCGATGTTTATCTCTACAATAATCGTGATTACGCCGAGTTTGAAAATTAGTTCAAGTTGTCGTCACGTACTCGCTGCATATAGCTCGATGGTAAAGAAGTATGCACGCTACTTGGAGGAGCGCAAGGGCTACCGTTACAAAGCCTCTGTGAAAGTGCACTAACGAAAGTGTGAATACTAATGCGATTTTTGCACACACACTGTGTACAAAATGTTCGTACCACATTATGCCGGATCTGGAATTCACCGTTAACGTAGATAACGTTGCCTTTTTAGCATCTGGCCGATGACTAAAGCCGCACGAATTCCATTTATTTTCACGCGTTTGTACTCTGATTCATTGTTCGAAACGATCGAGGAAACGGATAAAGTATCCCCTAAAGAACACAGGAAAGCAGCATTGTGTGTACAATACAACCATCTGACTAATAACACATTACGAATTATACATTGAAAAATCATCGCGAATCTTCCGTATTTCGTGCAATTATGGATTTTTTTTTCCTTTTTTTTCCTTTTTTTCTTTTTTTTTTTTTTCTTTATATTTCAAAGAAAACACCACCGTGTTAGGAGAATATTTCTTGAAATTACAAGGTGCCTTAATGATAGCGAGGCAGGAGGAAAAGATTGGATAAAATGGAAATTTCCCTCGCGCTATCTCGATCTAACGATCTAAAATAATGTGTACACAGGAAACTCGATTAACGTAGAAAAATATCGAGCTGTTGATTAAATTGCAGGATGCTCGATCAAGGTACGAGCGCGAGTTAGAATGCTTGTGCATCTCGATTCACCGGTCAACTCTATCCTCTCCCCCTCCCTCCCCAACTATTAGCGTTAATCGATTACAGCGTGACGGATCGAATGATTTAAATAAAGACCGGGTGCGTCATGGGCCTGGCTCGCTTTCTGTCGACCGCGCCTGTCAAAATAATGCCATTGCATTCGCTCATTATGCTCAATCTG